TGCCGCTATTTAAACTTGACAGCGTGGTTGCTGTTGTCAATTCTATTGTTACGATTATCTTTGAAACCTCGTCCGGATTTCCCAAATACCTCGGTTCGTATCGCTGGATTGTTAAATAAATGCTAACGATGACCAAATTGTAGTACAATTAATTTTATTGTACAACAAACAATTTAAAATATTCTCTAATACAGTAAAACCACTTTACAATACTTGTTGAAGCAATAACAATGCTTTACTAAACTAGTTAACACAATTAAACTTATAGCTTGCTTATTCGGAACTCCTTTTTCTGCTCACTTTACTTGTAGCTTGCTGACTTGTAACTAACTCACTTCGCTGTGGCGGCGCCCTTATATACCTGCGCTCGCACTTATGGCAACTCTAGAACGTTCTGAAGTTCATCGCTCATTCTCTTTCTCTCGCTGTTCGCAGTGTTTATCCAACTTGATGTTTCTCTTTGTGGAACATTCTACGTCATTCCTCGAACATTCTGCCTATTTCTCGTTGTTCCCTCGTGTTTCCCTCTACCTTAGTCTGATCGTCCCGATCAGACACACTTGCTGTTCCAAACGCTGCAAGCCTTTCCAAGTAGACCACCTTCATCTTGTTTCTTGGTCTCCCAATGGTCTGGATTCGATACACTACGTCATTCAGCGGTTTGACGACCTTATACGGACCTTCCCAGTTGCATCGTAGTTTTGGGGACAAACCTTTTTTCCGTTGTGGATTGTACAGCAACACTAAGTCTCCTTCTTGGAAACCCTCGGAGTTCATTGCCTTATCATACCTGGCCTTCATCTTGTCACTCATAATTTGAGTTCGCTGTCTCACAAGAGCATGTATTTCTCTCAACTCCTCTTCCAGGATGTTGGACGTCTCTTTCCCAATTCTCCTTGCATCGCCAATTACTCCAAACTTCGGGTCACTAGGCAAACGGAGCTCACTGCCGAAGATTACCCTTGCACGAGTTTTACCCGTTGTTTCATGCACTGCTGACCGGTATCCCATCAGGAACAAGGGTATGCGGACATCCCAATCTTTCTGATTCTTGTCCACGACCTTCCGCAAATGCTCTTCCAGGGTTCGGTTGAACCGCTCCACCATGCTATCGGATAGGAAATGAAGAGCCGTTGTTCGAGTTTTCCGGATACCCAGTAATTGCCACATCTCTTGGAATACCGCCGATTCAAAATTTCTTCCCTGGTCAGAGTGCAGCTCTATCGGTACACCGTATCTCGCAACCCAATTGTAGGTGAATACCTCCGCTACTGTTTTAGCTTCCTGGTTTGGAATCGGGTATACCTCCGGCCATTTGCCAAAGTAGTCCATACCCACAAGGACATATTTGTTTCCCTGTGCGCTCATAGGAAATGGACCGGCTACATCCATGGAAATCCGCTCGAATGGTGCACCTGAATTATACTGCTTCATCTGGCCATGACTTCTGGATTTCGGACCTTTACCTGCAATACACTCCGCGCAGTTATCAATCCTCTCTGCGACCGATTGCCGCCAACCAACCCAATAGAACCTTTGCTTGATCTTTTCCAGGGTCTTCGTGATTCCCAAGTGCCCTCCGCTAGGACCATTGTGGAATTTCTTGAGAACGTCCCGAATTCTTACCCTTGGAACTACTATTAAGTTGCGGGAGCACTGCCCATCTGCACTTTCCTATACCCTGTGCAAACAGCCAGATATTAATTGTAAGCTGTTCCATTGTGCCCAGTACGTCTTTGCGATGGGGCTTTCCGCTGCCATTTGCTCCTTAGTTGGCCTTCTGTCCACCTCCAGTCCATGCGTCAAAAGCTCCAGATCTGAATCTTCCTGCTGACACTTTCGTAGCTGTTCTTCCTTCCACTCTTCTGCTGGTGTTATTGTCGTTAGACGGACGTCTATACTGTCCTCTTTGCCCTCAGCTTTTGAGCAGTGTTTACATTCCAGGCTACATGGTCGGCGGGACATGGCATCAGCATTACCGTGGACACTTCCACTTCTCTCAATCCACCGAGCTAGCTGTCCTTCTGGATTCTTAAACGTTAGTAGCCACTTCAGCGCTGCATGGTCCGTTCGAACTCGGAAACGTTGCCCATAGAGGTACTTGTGGAAATGTTTGACGCACTCCACCAACGCTAGTAGTTCTCTCCGAGTTACGCAGTAGTTCCTCTCTGGTTTTCCAATCGACCGGCTATAGTAGGCAACTACCTTCTCCTGCCCATCAATTACCTGCGACAGTACGCCTCCTATGGCATAACCACTAGCATCCGTATCCAAAATAAACGTTGCACCTGGAACAGGATACGCTAGCATAGGTGCAGTACATAGCCGTTCCTTCAGAGTTTGGAAAGCCTCCTCCTGCTCCTTGTTCCCCTCGAAGGCTTTATTTTTCCTAATGAGCTCGTGAAGGCTATAAGCTACGCTGGCGAAATTCGGAACAAATCGGCGGTAGTAGGTGCATAGCCCAAGAAAACTTCGTAGTTCTTGCAGGTTCCTAGGTCTTGGCCAATCCTTTACTGCTTCTATCTTTTCCTTCGTAGTACAGACGCCCTCCGTTGTCACCTTGTGTCCCAAGTAGTTCAGCAGAGTGTCATCGATCCTGGGAAGAGGATAGCTGTCCTTTTTCGTCACATCGTTTAGTTTCCGGTAGTCTACGCAGAGCCTCATTTGACTATCCTTTTTCTTCACAAGTACTACCGGCGAACTCCATGGACTCGCTGATGGTTCAATCACACCACTCTCGCTCATTTCTTTTATTATTTGACTAACAGTTTCACGTTTGGCAAGTGGAACACTCCGAGGAGCTTGACGGATTGGCCTTGCATCGCCAGTATCAATGCGGTGTTTCACAACGTTTGTCCTGCCTGGTTTGTCGCCATCCTTGTCGAATATGTTGGAGTATCTGCGGAGAAGTTCCTTAGCCTTGTGCTGGTATTTTTCTTCCAACGCTTCCCTCCATGCATTAAAGTCTTCGGCAATGTCATTCTCGCCAATGGAATCGCTTTCAGGTAATTTTTCGCAGTTGAAGATTGCCTCTACATCTCGACATTGCCCCAGTACTGTTCCTCTTCGGAGTTTGACTGGTGATTTGAACTCATTGAGTACTCGAACTGGGATGCGTCCATCTTTCTGCATCTTAGCTAGGGTTTTACCAATAAGTACGTCCGGTGTAGAATTTTGTGTTACTTCAACAACCCACAATTTGTTTGTCCCACAATCTCCATCAATCTTCGCCCACACAACTGCTTTTGACTTCGGTGGAATCCACTCGGTTTCCTTTAGGATCACTCTAAAAGCTAAGGAGCACTTCCATGTTGTTGTACTTCACGATCCTGTTCTTCTTGTCGATCTCCATACCTTGATCAAATAAGAAGTCTATTCCAATATGACTTCATCCACAATCGCCGAAACTATGAACTCGTGTAACACTGTCACATTCCCTATTGCGACTTTGCATGTTATCTCTCCTACAACTTGGGTGTCCTCACCAGTTGCTGTCCTCAACCTTGCTCTAGGTAATGGCCTTACCTCTTTAGTGACCAAATCAGATCGAATGATGGAATGCGATGCGCCCGTATCCACAGTTAGTACTCGCTCAAGTCCGTCCACATATCCACCAACAGTAACGTTGCTCGCTTTTCTGCCGATTTGCGAGACGGAGATTATGTGGCATGCAATTGCGGGAGCCAGCGCGCGCCCCTTACTGCTGGCTCGTTTTAGTTTAACGACTGATCGGAGTTGGGCTTGTCATCCTCAGTCCTGCGTTTACGTACTGCTGAACTGTTAGACCTGTTGGAACCCGTCCTACATTCGCGTGCCAAATGGCCTGGTTTTCCGCAACTAAAGCACTTCCTTACACCATCCTTTCTCTCGGTTGCACCAGGAGTATTCTTCCCTGCCATCGACTTGAGTGTTTTCAGGATCTCGTTCATCACGTCAGGTGTCTCCACTTCTAATCGATGGGCTTTGTAGGCTGCTCTACTTAGGAGCGCCGCCGTTTCACGTGTTTGAGCATACGAGACCGTTTCAGAAAATGTTGGCTTTGGATTCGTATACATCTCTTGCTTGGTATACATGTCCCGCATTCCGTTGATGAACCTCTGGATTTTTACTCTTTCGAGGTGCTCACCATATGTATTTCCAATTGCCAAATGAGCCAACCTTTCAATCTCGGAGGCGAATTCCTGTAGAGTCTCGTTGGATTTCCGGCAGCGATTCTCCAGCTCCATCTGGCAAATCTGTATCCTGTGCTCGCTACCATAACGTCTTTCCACTGCACCCATTAACGCATCGTAACTGTTCCTTTCACAATCAGGAATAGTCTGCAAGATTTCCGCTGCAGGTCCTCTTAATGCAACGAACAGTGCAGCGGCGGTGCAGCAGAGCGTTCTTCGGATTAGCTGGACGATTCAACTGCAAACCCCGGAGACGATCTTCAAGCTCATCCACCTTAGCTTCGACTTTGTCCTGTTTTTCCTTAATAAGCGCTTCGATCTTATCTTGTCGTTCCTCGATTTTATCCTGTCTCTCCCTGAGTTCCGCGTTATCTTTGAATAAATTCAACATGTACGTTTTTTGTGCTTCCAGCTGCGATGACAAGCGTGTTTCCTGCATTTGCAGCTGGGATGAAATCTGTGATGACATCTGTGACATGGCAGCCAATAACGTGTTCATGTCCATAGCTGTTGATGACGAAGGAGCCTTTTTCTGTTCTTCAAACCTCCCGGATGTCTGATGCACATCCATCGATGAACATGCAGCCTCATCCTTCTGTTCGTCCTTTGCGGATGTATCGTCGGGTTTACCCTGGAAGTCGTATTTGTCCAAGTCGATGCCTTCTGCTTCCATAGCCTCTCGCAGCCGTGATAGTAACTCCACTTTTCTTCCTGAGGTTGCTAAATTTCGCTTCTCCAACTCCTGTTTGAGTTCCTCGATCTTTAGGTCTTGAATTTTTGCCATTTTCCAAAGGGATTTCCCAAATCGCTCGGTTCGTATCGCTGGATTGTTAAATAAATGCTAACGATGACCAAATTGTAGTACAATTAACTTTATTGTACAACAAACAATTTACAATATTCACTATTTGCCCACCATTGCACCAATCTTCGCCGACCGTTGCACTCTCAGAATAAGAGTGCATTGAGATGCTAGAAAGTGCACCTCCTTCACCAAGCACCAATCCTTCCGGAAGTACTCCAACGTCGCCATGTGTCGAAATTTCCGTCACGTCTACAGCGTCCACCGTGAGCTGAGAACCTAAAATAAAAAGAAACAATTTTCTATCAAAGTTTAAAAAAATTTTATAAGTTAGAAGTAGATAAAAAAAAGAGACAGCGTGCTTACTGTTGTATATATAATTAAATATTTATTTTCTTTATTGTATAGTTTCAGGCAGGCTCTTCCTAAACTAGTTATGATTTGTCAATGTTATTTTGGCTTATTAACATTTCGTTTTTAATATTGTTATTGAGTTTTTTTAATCGTGGTGTTTATTAGAAAAAATGGAAAAAAGCAGTAGAAGTTATCCCAGCTATTTCGGGGATCACCACATCTCCTCGCAAAGTCAGAAGCATTAACCAAGGCACAGTCATACCCCGTAAACTCTTAACAAAGACTTAGTTTAGGAAGAGCGCGCCTGAAACTATACAATAAAGCAAAACGAATGTATCGAATTGACAACTGAAACCACGCTGTCAAGTTTAAAAAGAAGCAAATCAGCTGCACTTGATAGTAGTAGGTTGAAAAACTTAGGGTTTACACCGGACAATACTGTCATGGCAATAGCAATACATGCACACTTTTTCACTAATACATGCATACTTTTCCAATTGTCTGAATCACTGTCTTGATTATTTTCAAGACAGTAAATCGGACAATGATTTGACGTATGCAGACAATAATTTTGACGTCTGGTGCAAGATAGAAGAGAAATTCATAACAAAAGAATTAAAATACCACAAGAGACGCTGATGTGTATGTAACTTTGTCTCTTCTTTATTATTTTTTAGTTTTTAGCTTAAATAGCACGCGCGAAATGCGTATTTCTGCACCTTATAATTCAACGTTTACGTTCGACATTTTGCTCAAAATGAATTGTCTTAATTATTGTCAGGACGCCTACGCTACGGAGACAATTATCAGCGTTTTTTACAACTAATACGTATTTGTTTATTGTCTTGACAGCATTGTCTAATGTAAACGCGCCGTAAAGAAATGAATTAGCAACAAGAGTTTACGGGGTGTGCTCAGTGGTTAACGCTTCGGACTTTGCACATTGATGACGCGGGTTCGATCCCTGCTGAAGTCTAGAAAAAAGAAGTCTGATGAGGAGATGTCGTGATCACCGAAATAGCTGCTATAACTTCTAAGTACTGCTTAGACTTTGTTGCTTTGTCCATTTTTCCTAATAAACATAATCGTGGTACAAAGCTCAATAACAATATTAAAAATGAAACGTTAACTACCCACAATAACATTGACAAATCATATTTTAAGAAGAGCCTGCCTGAAACTGTACAATAAAGAAAATAAATGTATAGAATTGACAACAAAACCACGCTTTCAAGTTTGAATAGCGACAAATCAGCTGCACTTGACAGTAGTCGATTGAAAAAGCAAATGAATTAGCAACAAGAGTTTACGGGGTGTGCATAGCTAAGTGGTTCACGCTTCTGACTTTGCTCATTGATGACGCGGGTTCGATCCCTGCTGAAGTCTAGAAAAAAGAAGTCTGCTGAGGAGATGTGGTGATCTCCGAAATAGCTGCTACAACTTCTAAGTACTGCTTAGACTTTGTTGCTTTGTCCATTTTTCCTAATAAACATAATCGTGGAACAAAGCTCAATAACAATATTAAAAATGAAACGTTAACTAGCCACAATAACATTGACAAATCATAGTTTAAGAAGAGCCTGCCTGAAACTGTACAAAAAAGAAAATAAATTGACAACAAAACCACGCTGTCAAGTTTGAATAGCGACAAATCAGCTGCACTTGATAGTGGTAGATTGAAAAAGGAAATGAATTAGCAACAAGAGTTTACGGGGTGTGCATAGCTCAGTGGTTAACGCTTCGGACTTTGCGATTTAACTTGTTTATAAACATGTTTTGTTCATGTAACTGGTTCAAACCCATTTAACATGTTTAACTCGTCAATTTGAACTTAGTATTATGTTGCTAACACGTTGCAATTTCTGTTGCTTTTGTGCGCTTGTTTGCGCACTTCCATTTCCCTGCACATTATGATTTTGCCAACTCATGCTGTTTTTTCTCATTTGTGCATTTCCATAATTTATTTGCTTATTTTGTACTTGTAATGACTAGGGAAGGCAAAAATATGCAAATGCATATCGCGTATGCAAATGCCTATCGCATATGCAAATGCATATCGCATATGCAAATGCATATTATGACACAAAATACATATTTTGGCGAAAATGCATAAAATAGCACATAAATGATTATTTTGGTAATAAGTTAATTAATTTTCGCATAATTTCATGTAACAATACCTTTGCAGAGATAGCCAGGGTTTCCGACGAGGTTTGTTTAATTGACAAAAAGAAAAGGCTTACAAACAATGGAAAGTTCTGTTATTTTCTAGTAAATAATTTTAATATACTCGTAAAAATATTTCGACTGCTGTTTTCCAATAGTGAAGTTGAAAAACTCAATGAACATTTTTCGTTTTTAGCGAAAGCTGTTTAACTGTATAGTAAATAATTTTAATATACTCATAAAAATATTTCGACTGTTGTTTTCCAATAGTGAAGTTTCGCTCTAAACCGGTTTTGGTAGTTGAAAAATTCAATGAAAATTCTTCGTCTAATCAGCGTAATTTATTCTACATCTACTGTAACTGCAACAACAACAAAAATGTTTGGTGGGAAGCAACACTTCAATACAATGTTGCAATATTTTCACCTGGAGAATTGTTATCTTTTAAAATGTGTCCATCAAAGTCTTGGCACGTAGAGCGTTCATTTTCAATACATATATGTATGTATGTACAAAAACTTTTATTGCGATAATCGGAAAAATTTTCGTTATATGTATACATTTTTAGGGCATATATCAAACATATTTTTAATATTTTGGAGTCATTTAAATCATCATATAATTAAGTTTTTTGTGCATATTTTTGTCTTCCCTAGTAATGACGGATATGTTTCCCTATTCTTCTTATTAAGTTCTTTAGTAATGGCAGAGTTCGTGTCCTGAGTCATACATGTTTTGTTTATTAGAAGCGTTAGTTTTTGATTGACCACGTTGTAGAAGTCTATCAAGGATTTCGATCCTTGTCTCAGCACACTTATCTTTTGTTCTATTATGTGTGATGGTCTTTTGTCGGCGAATGCAAAATCTAATCGACTTAGAATCGCATCAAGGTTTAAAACTGTACCATGTTTGGTGAGAATGTCGTTTGCTTCTTGCGTTATTTTGTTCCTTATGATTGTCAAAGAGGCAAGTACTTCCTACTTGCCCTCGTATACAATGACACAGAGTTGTTGGCTGCCTCACGCCAACTAACGTAATTATAAATTTTTCCTTTGCATTTTGGAACGGACTTTATTACGTCCAAAGTTTCGTCGCAAGTTATACTGGGTTCAATCGTTTCTTTTACGTATTCAATAACATTGTTTGATCTGTTCAAAGCCTCTAACTGAGTGTAATTAACCTCGTCCCTATTGGATGCGTTATTGATATCATTGTTTGTCATTGACATTATTGAAAATGTGCTTAATAAACTTTCCAGCTTTGTTGCAATTTCTTATATGATTTAAACTACATAAAATAAAAACAGTCTTACATAAATGGTGCTGCTCCTTATCTTGTTGGTGTTGATGATTTCTTCCAGCTGTGCCTTCTGTTGACAATCTCTTTACTGCTGCTGCTGATGTTATTGTTGATGATTTGCTATAGCTTTTATTAGCTACACATTCGTATATGCACATATGCGTGTCATAGAACAAAATTCAATTCAAATGAATTTTTTTTCTAAATCACAATTCAGCAACTTCAAGTCAACTTGTAAATTTAAGTCTTTCGGAAGAATTTTTAAACACGAGTTGTAGTGGGTTTTAATAAAATAATTTCATTTTAATAATTTGCCAGCAAACGGGGTGCAATGTGATGGTACATATGTGTATTAAATTCGCTTATAAAACGGAAACACGTGGCTTGTACAAAAACGTATACATAGAACGACGCATATACACACAGCGTTCACACAACACAACAGTTTTAGTGTTCAATCTGTTTTAAATATAAAAGA